TAAAAATTAAAATATATTATATATAAATATAAATCACATTACCAAGTACATCATATTAAATAAGCCTAGATATAAATCCTATATTAAATAATATATTGTATATATTACAATAATATAAAAATCTTATTTTTTTTATTTTATTTTCACTCATGAATGAATGAAGACTACTATAACCCATACTCTCTCTACATTATATAAATATTGTATTGATGGGTATTAATAATTGTCCCCTACAAATGATCAAAAAAAAAATGAATAAATATAGCAAAATTATTAAATAAAATGAATAATCTAGGACTGCTTAAAAAATATATATATAAAATACAATTTGAGCAAGTCGGACAATTAAGAGTTTAACTCAGGCGAACTTTAAACAAAACAAATCAAATGTGATACATTCGAAACTGAATCTCAACACAACTTAAAATTGAGCCTTGGACAGCTCCACCCGAACTCGCCCAAGATTGCCAGCCTAATCTATCATATATATTCCTATCCACTCGCTCTAACATCGTCAAATTTTAAACACAACTCTCTTCTTGCTCTCTCTCGTCTTACTCTCTCTCTCTATCTATATCGTCCCAAACCCCTGTGTTCAAACCAGGTATGCCACTCATGCATCTCAAAAAAGAAACGTAAAATCTTTCCCTTGCTATTACCCATTTCTGCACGTAGCCTTGACTCACAACTCACCACACTAGATTACTGATCCACAGAAAAACCCAGAAAAACATAGAAGAACCCATCACATTTCCACATCCACTAAGAGAAACTTCAAAGCCCTCACTCAGCAAGTGCGATGGACACACGTGCTACCGAGACCTCTTCAATCTCCACACCTAACTCCAATTCCACTAGATTCTTCCGACCTCAAAATACACCCCTCCCCTCAAATACATCGCCGCGGCGTTACTGTTATTCGACACAAGTCGGAGTCCGAGTCCGAATCCAACTGCAACTCGTCCGCCTGCGTAAATGCTCCAGTCGTAAGCGTGGATTAAGCTCCAAAGTCGAACAAACGAGCCCTCGATGAACTTTGATCTCGAGCATCTTAGACGATTCAATTTCCAGAAACTCAACATCCACAATCTTCCGATCTATCCTCATCCGAATAAACCATCCAGCGTAAAACACCCTTTCCACGATTTACAAACCGTTGGTTGGAGCGCGGGTTTCGCCACAATATCACGATACGGTAATTCAGTCTTTGTCAGAACGGTTCGTAGAATACAGATAAAATCAAACACTCGTCAAACATTGTCAATCCGAGGCCCGATATGCTTGTTGTGAGAAAACAATCTCATCATCACCTTTGTTTGAGCAGACGGCTCTTCCGAATACTGGTCCTCTGGCGAAATATAAAACTGAGTACCACTGTGCGTACGATCTCGCTTAGCCGATTTAGTGGTAGTTCCCGACGAGTCGATGGGACCATGATAAGAGTGGGTTTAACACAGATCCTCTCGTGGTTGTCGCTAAGCTAGAAAGACATTAGGAAGGTTTTGCAGCACTGGCGGGAATGAGACAAATACGATGGTCTCCTGGTGGCCGAAAGACTTGGAATGTGGATAGTTGTACGGAAGAGCGATTGGCAGAGCTTTCAGTCTGTGAAGTGATCTGACGTTAAGTTGTGGTATGTGGGTAGGCTCCCCCGCGCGGCTCGTTAACCGAGTCGACGAGGTTTGTGAATGAATACAATTAAAGCTGCGAGAATATTTGAGTGATTAGAGAGAATTTGTGGTCCCGAAAAGGACGACCTACCGTGCGTTTACTCAATGGTATTTTAGTATGAATGGAATGTGGGCATAGACATGCTGTTGCTGAAGCGGCAGTGCAAATCGGAGTGTCGGGATAGGTGAGGCTGGACCAGCTTTTCGCCGCTCTTCCACCGCTTCTGTGACCAATGCTGAGCGCAAGTACTATCCCGCTTACAGTTTTCTCTCAAATCCTTCCCCAGATCAAAATTTAGGTAAAACTTGGAAGATGCCTATTCTGAAGTCTCGTGTTCCGATAATCAGATATTCACTTTGTTGTATATAAGTCTTGATGTAAGATATTGAAGCCTATAATACTAGTAGCGGTATATTAACACGATATTTTAATAATTGCAAATGCCTAGATAGAATGTTAGAACCTAACTTGAGGGACTTTTCGGATTCTTACGAAAGTCACACAATTAAGGGTTTTATTTTTGTAATTTTGATTGATTAATTTATAATAAAGAAATGAAAATAATTTTTTTTATAGTCGAAATAAGATAAGCTAATAATAGCATTGTGCATTCTAATCCATAATATATCATCAATTTTTTTGTATTTTATAAAAAGGTAGAAGAGCACATATTTTTAAAGAATCAAAAATTTGTCCAAATTAAATTTTATAAACCTCCAAACTCAAAAAAAACATATCTAAATAGCTTAAAAAGATCATAAGGAGATAAAAGAATCCCTACTTCGGTGTTCTGTATCCTGTGTTTGACAAATTTCGAGAGACACTGGAAGGTAGGAGTGAGATGATGCATCCCTTTTGCTTTTCCTTTAACCTCTCTCTCTCTCTCTCTCTCTCTCTCTCTCTCTATATATATATATATATATATAGTAATTGTACATATAGAACCAACCATACTTTAAAAATAAGGATTTTTTTTAGGGTCCCTGATATTAAGACTTTATAATATAAAGGATATCTAATATTTTTATAATGTCTAAGGCCCCTCAATTTGACCCAGAGAAATTCTATCCAGAGAAATTTCAAACCAGAGAAATTTGAAATTTCTCTGATTTGTTCAATTTTTTTGATTTTCTATGTTTTGCAAATGTCTCATCCAATTCCCAAAAATGGTGCAAATCAGAGTATTTTCTGGTGATTTAAACACTGGAATATCTTGTCAATAATTGCCTTAAATCACATGTGGTTTTCGTTTTGGGGGAATAAAATGAGCAACTTTGTAAAGAAATTTTAATCAATGGAAAAAAAAAAGAAAAAAGAATTCAAATGAATTAGAGCACTGAGAGAAGAAATCTATGGGTTGTAAAATGAATTCAATTCTCAACTTGACATCATTACACCTTTATACATACCAAAGATTCAAAAAACATGATTTCCAAACCAGAGAAAATTCACAGAGAAAATGCCAAATTTTTCTGGACAACACTTGAGGACTAGTTCAATCCAAACCAGAGAATTTCTTTGGATCAATCCAGAGAAAATTCAGTTCAAACCATAGAATTTCTCTGGACCAACCCAGAGAAATTTCAGTTCAAACCAGAGAATTTCTCTAGTTTCAACCTAGAGAAAAATCAGTTCAGGTGATCGTGATTTACCATTTCTTTCTGATAATGGATCATCTGAATCAGCTTTGCACTGCCACTGCAAACCTGCCCTTCCTTTGGTTCTTCATGTGAGGATTGAGCCCTATCATCCTCACCATCAAGATTAGCCAATGGGCTTTCTGATTGTTTTTTCATAATTTCCAGAGCTCTACGGATATCCACTGGCTTCCATTCACAATTGACAAGTATGTCAGCCCAATCGACATCAACTTCATCTGGATCAAACATCTGGCTTCAAGATTAGCCTTACTCGATGGGAACGTCATCTGGATCAAACATCCACCACCAACCTTCACCAAATATGCTGCCTCCACGTCACCTACCACGAACCAGTGGATTACATACATCCCTATTCCTAGCATCTTCAGAAGCTCGTGGATTACCTGATCTTCAAGAACCCAGATCAAATTACAATCAGGTTCGGGAATCCCCTGCTGAGAGTGCCAGTTCACGAGAAACCTGGCCCATTGCTGATGTTATTATGGCAAAAAAGCTAGAGAATGAGAGAGCAGAGAATGATCTTCCCGAATCGTCAGTCACTCATCCGACCTTGTTCGATGCTCTTTCCATGTAAAACCTCCACAGATCTCTTCTTCCTGTGTAGAGAGAGAAATGGCCAAGACCAACAAGGTCTCCACAGATCGTGACGCATGGCGGCGATGGAGAAGGGGAGAAAGAAGAAGTCGGCGTCAGAGGGATTGGTGGTGAGGAAGGAGAGGAAGAAGATCTTCAATCTCCAGCGAAGATCTTGAAGTTTTTGTTCATTTGGTTGTAGGAAAGAGAGAGAGAGGTGGGCAAAGAATCAAATTTCTCTGATTATATGTTTAGGGACCTTAGACATCAAAAAATAATTTTGTGGATCTCTTCCCTTAGGAAAAGTGGGAGAGGGACCCTACACTAATTTTCCCAAAAATAAAATTTTCTGAAAAAGTATTTTCTAAAATCCAAAACCTAAAATGTATTAATTAACTAAAATTATTTTTGTAAGTCGGTAGTGTCATATGTTAAATTATTTTTATAGGTAGCTAGGTAGGTAGTTAGTGTCTTCTCTTATTTTAAATTATTTCTTTTATTTTGGTTTTAGAAATAATACCACCCTAAGAGCATCTCCAACGGTGAATCAAATATTTCATCAAATCTGAGTAAAAATTTGAAAAATTTCTTTATTTGATATCCAGCATTCCAACGGTGTTCCAGCAAAATGCCAATCTACCGGGGGACGACCTTCCAGACATCCAGCCGGTCGACCGGCAGGCAATCTGAAAAAAAAAAAATCCTCTGATCAAAGTTGTTGAACTGAAAAATTGCAGTGATGTTTTTTGAAATTGTGATTGAACCTAAACAAACCCCTACCCCCAACTCTTTCTCTCCCTCTCTCTCTCTCTCTGTCTCTCTCTCTCTCTCTACATATTCTTTTCTTGAGTGGCAGGGAGATTTGGTTCTGGATTTGCCTTGTAATATTTGTATTAATGGGTAAAATGGGTCTTGGTTGAGCAAGTTATAAACATCAACACTAGGAAGATGAATCACAAGAAACCCACTTTGGTGATTGATTGTAGAGAGCTTTTGAGGGTTGTAGCAATGGTGATGGAAGGTCTCCAAGAAGACATGGATGATGGATCTGTGCTTTTTAAAGCTTGGAAAACTAGTCTCCTCTTCTTTCTCCATAGCCGTCTTCCTTTGTTCTTCCTTATCTTCATCTCCTTCCTTATCTTCATCTCCTTCCTTCAGATCTGGTATGTGGGAATCATTGAAGTAATCGGATGACCGGGGGACAATTGGTCGGATATCCGGCCGGTCGTCCGACGTGTCCAACGGTCCTACACAGTAAATTGGTGAAAGGTATTCAGATCTTCAATTTGGTGAAAGGTTTGCTATTTTCTCAATTTGATATCGTTTTGGTGAAACTATTGGAGCACAAAAAGTTTCTCTTTTTCACCAAATTTGAATTTGGTGATACATCTGATGAACCATTGGAGATGGTCAAATCTTGTATACTTGTGTATATATATTTGTGTGCAATACGTGTGTAATTTAGATAAATAAAAATAAATAATATTATAATATGTAAATTACTTAAATGGTGAGTTTAATTTCATAAAAAGTCAAAAAGTACACTTATTTAAATAATCTCAAACCACCCCTTAATAAAATTTAAGATGTCTTCTTCAAATCTTACTTGTGCTATGATATAGTATATTTTCTTTTATTTTAGCGTATTAAAAATTTATCATGTGACATGTACACAAGGTTTGGACAGCAACTTCAATATTCACGTATATAATAGTATAAATAGATATACAAAAATACTAAATATTTTAAAAATTTTAAAAATTTTACAAAATATTTTACCAAATATCTCATATTTTAATAGGATTTTTAGAATCTCCATCATCAGTCAGTGATATATTGAACTAGTTCAATAACATACATTTGTGCTTTTCATGTGGTTCTTCAACGCCCAATGTAAGCTTAAATTCTGCTTTGACATCTTCCATAAACTGGCAGCTGTAGTAGGAGACGGTTTCATAGCCAAAGGCATATCATTCGAAAACTACGCCGGCCCAAGCAAACACCAAGCAGTGGCTCTACGTAGCGGAGCAGACCTCTCCGCCTTCTACCTCTGCAGCTTCGTCGGCTACCAAGACACCCTCTACGTCCACTCCCTCCGCCAATTCTACCGCGAATGCGACATCTACGGAACCATCGACTTCATATTTGGCAACGCAGCGGTAGTTTTCCAAAACTGCAACTTGTACGCTCGCAAACCAATGGACAACCAAAGAAACATCTTCACCGCTCAGGGAAGAGAGGACCCGAACCAAAACACCGGCATTTCAATCCTAAACTGTAAAGTTGCCGCTGGATCGGACTTAATTCCTGTCCAGTCCTCCTTCCGAACCTACCTTGGGAGGCCATGGAAAGAGTATTCGAGGACGGTGTATCTTCTTTCGAATATCGGCGATTTGGTAGACCCTGCTGGCTGGTTGGAATGGAATGGTACTTTTGCGTTGTCGACCCTTTATTATGGGGAGTATAAGAACAGGGGTCCGGGTTCGAACACGAGTGCCAGAGTGACCTGGCCTGGTTACAGAGTCATTACGAATGTCACCGAAGCGACTCAGTTTACCGTTGGGAATTTTATTCAAGGGGGTGAGTGGTTACCTTCTAATAATATTTCATACTATCTCGGTTTGACTGGTTGAGTAGAACCCAAAATGTTGGTTGTGTTTGTATTTTGAATAAATTATGTTAGTAGTTTTTATATTTTGATTCTAACCATTTTAATTTAGAGAGATTTATTAGAATTTTTTTTTTTAAGGGTTTGTATTTTAATTAGTTCATAAGATATTCTTGTATTCTGATAAGTTCTATTATTTGAACATTTGATCTACCAAATCCTAATTCTTATATTTAAAGTATTTTATGAATATTTTTACCCTTACAAATATTTTAAACGGTCAGTAATTTAGTGATGTGAACAGTCATATTTTACAATGTGAATATTCACATTGGCGTGTGAATGTTCACATTGACAGTGTGAACATTCACATTGACGGTGCGACTATTCACATCACGAAACATTCACACTGTAAATGTGAATATTATTAGGGTTATTTTGATAAATATGTCACTCATATGACTTATTGAAATATAAAAAAATAATGTAAACTAAATGGAATATAAGTAGATGAAAAATGATTTATGAAAAAGCATCCGTTCAATTTACTCAATTTTAATGTTAAATTTATGATTTTTTCTCAATTTGATCTAATTGTTATAATTGTTAGTGTTTTTTAATTGAAAATACGCACATGAGTAGTATATATTATATTTTTTTAAACAAAATTATAAACTTGTTCAACTCAATAAGTTAATCTCAACCAACTTAGTAATTATTTTCTTTCAAAAACCTTAATCAGCATTATCAATTAGACTAAATTGATATAAAATTTAAAATTAATGATTAAAATTAAACTAATTAAGATTACATAGACTAAATTTATACAAAAGGCAAAATGCAGGTACTATTAATATAATTTGTCCTTGTATTTTTGATGAGTGATTTCAGTGTATCTTCTTTTCCTCATCGTATGTTCTTCTACCTATAGCCCTCCTGGGCTCTGAGATTTCTTTTTTCCTTTTTTTCGTGGTGGTAAACAAGGTTTTGTGTGGTTTGTCAATGGAGGCTTGTGACCTTGGGATTGTGTTTTGAGCCTGATTGTTATACCACCTTCTCTTCTTTTCTTTTTTTTTTTCTTGTAATAATAATATTCACTTATCAAAAAATATATTTCACTACTTGTTTAGAATAATGTATTACAACATTGTCAGTCATTTTAGACCCATCTAAACAATTCGAATGGTTTATTTTGCATGACTTAAGCATTTTATTTATAACGAAAATTATGTTGATCAAATTTCAGTAGATACTTGATCGAATCACATTTGTCTGAAAAAAATTTGACGGATTATATGATTTTAAAGATATTTGGTTCATTGTTCTTTTAGACATATGTGGTCCGATCAAGTGATTATTAATATCCAATCAACTTGATTTTTTATATAAAGAATGTGCTCGAGTGGCTCCATAAGATGAACAGTTTGGATCGTTAAAATGGGCCTGAAGTTAGCTCACAATGGGCCGGAATGAACCTTTTCAATCCGATCATGGACTGTGGAAGAGTTGCTCTCATAAATACAACTCATTGTTATGAGTGTTTTCTTTGAAAGTAAAAGGATTTGTAATAATTGTTTCTCAATTTAAAATAATGATAAATTTTCATGACAATTTCACAACTCTTCATGTAATAGAGATTTTCTATGACAATCATGTAATAGAAAAGATCTCAATCATTTTTTCAAATATATGAACAAATAATTTCTTGGTTTGTTAAGCTTAGAATTTAGGCTAATGATTGATATGAGTAGAAATAAGAAATAAAATAAATAAATTCTGAATGAATTATAAATTAGACCCAAACATGGTTAACGTTTTATTCTGCTTCTGCTACCTCCCGGCAAGAATTTGAATCAGATTTTATTTTCATTTGTATTTGTTCCCTGTTTGTTTGTTTGTTTGTTTTTTTGGTCTTCCTTTTCATAAAACTGAACCCAATTTCCTATTTCACGTATTGAGTGGAAAGAAAGAAAGAAAGAAAGAAAAGAAAAGAAAGAAAGAAAGAAGAAAAAGAGAATACTGTAGAAAAGGAGATTAGGCGGCGGTGCTCCAGTATATATATATATATATGTAATAAGTTAAAGTCCAGATTTGATAGATCAATCGGTCCACACGGTTAGCAAGATTGAGGTTTACCACCACTAGTGGCTTAAGACAAAGACTCTCTATAAAAAGCCAAGGTATAGACCATAAATCCTAAAAAAAAAAAAGTCAAAAAAATTAAAAAAAAAACTAAAAAATCAATTTTTAATCATCTTTTTAAAACATCATGTGTGTTTCAAAGTATAGTTTAGTTGGGTTTGCATTTTTGTTTTTCCTCTATGATGATTATTTTACAACTTTTTAAATAAGGTCCTCTTTGACAATCATGAAATGGCGAGGCTATCAATGGTGTTATGTTATCAAATATATGAACACATAATTTTGGTTTGATTTTTTATAAAACGATTTTTTTTTTTAAAAAAAAATCATTTGTTTTTAGTGATTATATATATATATATATATATTAAGATGGTCTTGCAAAGGTTACACTGTTGAACATGAGCATTGGATCTATCAAAGTGTTTTGAAAGCATTGAAGATGAGTTTTAATTTATATTTAGTGTTATATATATATATATATATATTTAAATAAGTTTTTAAACAATAAAATAAATAAATAAAACAAAATATACTCTACAAAGGAGAATAGGCGGCGGTGCTCGAATAAAGTATATTATTTGGGTCATATCACTTCTTTATTTTTCTATATATCCTTGCATAAAAAGTCAAAAAGTATATTTATTTAATTTATGTCAAACAATATAATTTCACTTGTTTTTTCATTGTATATTGTCTTTTGTGGAGATTAGTTCGGTTTTTCTATAATAATGTTCCCTTTATTTCTGTTCATTTTAAATTTATGTTTGAAAAATTTTGAAAAAAAATATTCCTTATTTTCATATGATTTTACATTTAAGAAACTAACATGTATGGTTTATTGAAGGCAAAGCGAAATTTCAAGATGAGTTAAGCTTGTTAGGGTATGCAGAAACGGTAAGTTTTAAAAAAATGTAGTTTTCAATTACTACTATCGATATATTCCGTTTGTTCACTCCGTTAATTCATTCTTGTTAAATCGATATAAATCGGATAGATTCACATTTCATTCACTCATTCTCTATAAATAGTTTTTGAAATCTGAATTAAAGTTATTGGCAGCGGTGATTGTATCAATGTACGCAACCACAGTTATAGATGGAATTTGTAGTACCCCGTCAGGTAAAAAATGGTATGTGCGTTTTATTTTTAAATAATATTATTTGTATACAGAAAATTTATACACAAAAGTTATTACATGAAGATGTTTACGAGTTCTCTTGCTTTGATCCATGCGAATGTACTCATCAATCTCACCACTTATGGATGATAGATTGACTCTGGTCAGTTTAACCATCAATAAGTCCCACTCTTCACTTCTTGCTCGGTTTCTTCTGAGTTTTCTTGGAGTATTTGATTTTACTACCTCATGCCCATTGTTCTAATTTGATGTTTGTCCCCTAGTCTTAATGGCCACATATATATATATATATATATATATATTGGCAAGTACAATAACCAGATATGTCTTTTGATAACAGCCATCCTTGAATACGATTATCTAATTCGTTTTTAGTGAGCGCAAAAAATTAGGAACTAAATGTCAATCTCAATGAAACCAGTTTGTAAAAATTTCATACCTGTCCTCGTAACTACCTTTCATGGTTGATCTCCTCGGCTTGAAGCCAAAAACGAAACCGAAAAGAATTTTTTGTATGTTCGGTTTCAGTTCTTGGTCTTCAGTTACACTATGTTTGGATTGAGTGATTTGGAGAGAAAAAAAAGAAATGGTGTGATATGTATTTCTCTTATTTGTTTGGATAACCTAAGTAGAGAGAAATGGGAAGAAATGAAAAGAAATGGAGAGATATGAGCCTCATTTTCAATCTTCCCAAAATTAGAGAGATTTGGAGAGAAAAGAAATTACTATTTTCAAAATACCTATTTTGTCTCTATAAAAATAAAAGAAATAAAATGATTGAAAATATAAAAAGGTTATTTTGGTAATATAACATAAAATAATTTCTTTTCTTTTCTCTTAATGAAATCTAACCAAACAAGAATGAGAGAAATTACAATCATTTCTTTTCTTTTATTTCTTCCTTATCCAAACAAAACGGAGAGAAATCATAATCATTTCTTTTCTTTTCACTCATAGATTCCCAAACATAGTGTTACTCTCTCCCAAGAATAATATTGATATACATCAATCTCAAAAGAAAAAACAAATGCCATTGAATGGAGTTTTTTTTTAATAGTCGGGACCGTGTCGTAGGCAGGGTTCTTTGGGTCTATCCCAAAGAGTGTAAACCCGAGTATCAAGCGACGCTCCCTAATTGGATGATCTGGACAAACAGAATTGAATAGAGCTTTTTAGATGATTTTATTTGTGCAAACTTGTTCTGTTCTTTCTTTTGTTGACAATGTGTTGTGTAAGAAATTAAAATCTGATAGCCAATCAGAATGGAGTTGTGTACTTGTAGCATGTGTGTTAGTTTCCCATCATTTTCCAATAAATCAAACCAAACTAAGCCTTATCTTCCAATAAGTTGTGGTCGGCTATGTGATTCTTTTTCGCCATTTTGCCATGTCAAGGACCATTATCGAAGTTTAGTTCTGATTTTTGATTTTTTTTTGGCTTTCAAAACCATTAGCACATTTTTTTAAGTTGTATTATATATATACATATATATTTCATTTACTAACAACTTATTTGATTATCTCAGGATTATAAATTCGATTATTTTAAAATAAGCTTCTTCATTAATTAACTAAGGCCTGGTTTGGCATAACCTATATAATTCATCTTTTTATCTTTTTATCTTTTTTCGATCACATCACCTCTCTACTTTTCTGCACATCTTTTCGTAAAAAGACAAAAAGTACACTTTTTTAGGACACCCCAAACCAACTCTAAATGTGCATCTAGTTGTGTTATTGAACTAAAAATAAAAATAAAACTGAATGTGCATTTGGTTATGAAAAAGAAAGAAAAATGCATTAGCTCTGGTCAGGTAAAAACCAAATCCGTTAGGGGATGGGAAAAAT